CGAACCTCGTTATTGCTCACCCGGTGTTCACCTGGCACGAGCAATGCTTCGGAGAAGTCGGTGATCGAGTACAGAAAGTCGATTATCATCCTCAACGCAGAGGGGCTAGGTGTCGCAATCGTAAAGTAGAACGCTACGAACCCTTCCCTCAAGGGACAGTCGGATATCATGGCGGCGCCACAGGCATCGCAGGTTGGCGAAACCTGCTCTAGCTTTCGATATTCGTGATGTGATCTCGTCCTCCACACGACCACCAGCTGCGATCAAGCTCCTGAGGTACTTAAAGCCTACAACTACTTGGAGTTAATCTACGCAAAGAGTGAGTTCAGACATAGGCTCCTGCCAGTCTTGTACAAGCATTAGTTTTAGACCCGGTCTAGGTTGTACCGGCCACATTTTCACTCTTCATCAACTTCTTGAACATAGACATGTATTTCGTAGATCCACCGTCCTCGATTTAAAGGTGGCCTACGACTCAGTAGACTGCCCTAAACTCTGACTCTGCTTTTCCCTGAAGAATGTGTTCAAAGATTTTATTCCGTATTTTACGATCCGTTTGTACCAATAACCGAAGCCTACTTCGAGTTTACGGCATATTTTCGCCGCAGTTCAAAACGGTGTTCTTCAGGGCTGCCCTCTCCCTTTCTCTTATATTTTGATATAGATGTGATTCTTGAAACGGGATAGTGGTATCGCGTTGATTCTGGGTGGTAGACCGTTTGATCTGTACAATGCTGCCGGCAGTATACTGCCAAGTGAAGACCCAGACAAGTTGCAGGCTTTCCTGGACGGGATAAGTGCTAGTGTAGTTATGTCTGGAATGCAGTTTTGCACGTTCAAAGTTTGAAACGTTGCTACAGGGCTGGGTTAGTCCCGCTCCGATGGTTACTCCAACTGAAGGAGTAAAAAATGTGGTGAAAAAATTCCCCCCTTGCTGCTTTTGTGTTCTCTGAGCTGTAAGTGTTGATCGAATCATGGCACTCTAGGGCGGACAGTATAAATGAGCATATGGAACTGGAGTCCATTATCACTATCTAAGGAAACACTGGTGAACCGATAGAATCAGTCGGTTCAAATCGGTTTGTGGCTGGTCCAGCAAAGGCAATCGACCAACGAGAAAATAAGAGGGGGTTTACCATGACAACGAAACAGCCAATCAAATCACAGCAAATGGCCGCCACTGATCAATAGGATTAAAGGGACGCAAACAGCCAATCGGAACTCTCGAACAGAACTATATAAATCCGGTTACACTAAGGACTGACGGTTCCCAGAAGTCACGATGATGATGTTGCCTAGCCTGGCTACGAAATATCAGCAAATAACATTCCCAGCTCGGAGAACACCAACACCAGCATCCACATCCCGAACTGCAATCATTCCAC